AGCCAGAGCTGTCAGAACACGTGTTGAATAATAAATGTAGGACCCACTGCTCTGGGAACCGCGACCTCGGCGTCTCTAGGGCTCGACGTCGAGCCTACACACGGCACGCGATAACCGAAGCCCATCGACGGCTCGCAGGCCCCCAAACGTGGCCCCGAGCCGGCTCGGTCGTCGATGCAGTCTGGCGCTGAAGGAATGCGGAGAAAAGCGGTTTCACATAATCGTTCTGGTCCTCCGGCCCGCCCTGTCCTTCGCGCGAATCTCTGGCCCGCTGCTATTTCCTAACCTGCAGGTTCGGCATGGCCGACGGATTTCCAGGCGCCCATCAAAGGCCGGAGGCTGCGAAGCGCGTGTTCTTGACTTTGGTCCGTCGTCGTCGTCCGCCGGAGAGAATACCGGGCCGTGCGCCAGGAGCAGAGTTTTGTCGGTAAGGCGATGGCGGCAGCTGGAAAAGAGCGGACTATGTTGTACACCCACCGAATTACGTGCAGTTGAAAGTGCGATCGCAGTACAGGAGCCTACGCGGTGGGACCGACATGGATTCGTCTGCGAATGACTTTTGCTTATTTTACTTCGGAAGTCTCCCACTGGTCCGCTGCCGAATCTGAAAGTTACTCGCCTTGCTTTTCTACAGTGCTCTGCATATCTTCCACGCTCATTGTAACCTGATCCGTTCAAACATCAATCCTATCTCACCATAAAGTTCCCGACCCATACGAAACATTAGTTAAGGAATATATATTCTCCAGATTCAGTTTATATTTGAAGAATCGAGCTGGCGAATAATATCGCACTTCTACCCCAGTCAAATATCTTCATGTAAATTGCTCATGGTCTGAAAGTCATCATATCTTTGGACTTTTATTTATATTATCTGTATCTTGAACAAGCTCTTCTCATATTCTGCTTATGCTGTCTTCCACGTATATATTTTTCTTGTCCGTATAACTATAATAATTACACCAAAAACTGCGATTTGGTAATACCCTCTCTATAACTCATCAGGATAGTATGACATAATAATGATAGACGAATTTTTTTAACTCATTTTTACTTTTCTTATGCTACAATCTTTTAGATTCTTAGAAACTGGTAAGCTTCATCCGTTGCTGTCCTATCTGAATCTAATTTTCGTTGTCTAAAAAAGATATCAACCACATTAAGTTTAGAAGAATTAAGATTCAAAGAAAATGCATATGATGCAATTTCTATCAAAACAAATACAAGATAAAAATCAAATAAGTATCAAAATCTTATAAAATGAAAATTTATGCTATCCATATTCGAAATAATAGCCTTCTTTAAGTTTTGAAATATTGGTTGAAAATATAATCAATAATTCATTATCGTATTATTAGAGTATAATATCTGTGGAAGTAAAAAAATAATTCTTTATCTTGAGAAAAATTTTGCGCCCTTTGTCAAAGGACTCTATATCTTTTTTTGCATTGGTTGAAATCACTTTCATCTTGTTTTGTTAGTAGAAAGATTTTTTAATTATGATTTTTTATGATTTTCATAAAAAATCATAATTAAAAAATCTTGTTAGTTGTATCTATTTTGATACATACAACTGATTTTTTCACATGCCATTTTTTCAACAATTTTTTGACTGGAAATTATAGCTAAATAAATGCAATCTGATTATGAATGCAGATTCAATTAATATCTTTAATATTTGATTGGACAATATAGAATTAAGATTTTAGAATAGTTAAAACATACGCTCTTGCAGTACTAACAAATTTTACATTTTTTTATATTTAATTTTAGTCATGAATATATCTCTATTTAAATTTCTCATAAATATGAAATATGAAATAAATTTTTAAAAAATTGGGAAAAAAATCCTTGTTATTTTTTTGGAAATTCTATGTAGATTTAACCATTGAAAATTTTTCATAAAATAAATAATTCAATTGAGATTTATATATTATAAAAATATTTTAATTTTATTTAAGTATGGAAATAAATAATTTTTTCTAGTGGGAACTCATAATTTACATTTTTGATCTATTTATATACGAAATGAAAAACTTGAAAGTGGTGAATTTTTATTATTAATAACAATAGATATAATTTGAGATGAAAAAGATAGTGTATGAACACAGAAATTGCATCCGTTGAAGTAGTAAAAAATAAATTATATTGTCTAAATTATTTGGAAATAAACAGAATCATAAAGAGTGATTTGGTTTTAAAGAGCTTGAAAATATCACTTTTAATGTGATGTATAAATGAATTTGCATTCACAAAGGTACCCCATATATAGACTCCCTCAAGGTCAATACATTACGTTGATTTATATGCCATTATGAGTATGTGTTTTCTCAGTATGATTTTAATAGTCTAACGAATGTATACTGAAATTGTATGGACCAGATATTAAATTAAAAGTACTAATTTCCACAATGAAACTTGTCACATTTTCAACGAGGTAACGTCTCGGTCCACACTAAGAGTCAGAAAGCATGAAATGGACACGAAGTCGAACGTGTTTGCCTGGCTCAAGGGAATCCGCTGCCACATGATTCTCCACGAGAGAGCTGAAAAGACGATCCGAGCATCGCAAGTCTGACGATGAGAAGAGTACGAGACGAGCAAGAAGCTCGAAGATGACTCTTTCGGGTCGTAGCTTTCTGACGAACAGACTCGAAACACGCGAACAAGTGTTCGCAAGAGAAGAAAAGCGCACAGACACAGAGAGATAAAATGGCTGGCAGTGGGAAGGTTCCAAAGGCACGTACACAGAGAGAGAGAGAGAGAGAAAGCATGAAAAAACGCAGACATTGACCACGTCAAAGTGTGTGAGAGAGAGAGAGAAAGAGAAAGAACATAAGATAAGGGTGGGGGTGGGCATCGAAATATGTCTCTTTCTCGACTCGAACGACGGGGTGACTAGCTCCTCGGCTGCGAAGAAAGCGTCCGGGCCTGCGGGGACTTGTCATAATGGTCGGACTTTCTCGAAATCTGACATGGGTTACGAGAATCAAAAAACCTGAATTTAACTAAGTTTTGAGGCACCACCAGACCTCGGCATGTGGGCGAGAACGAACCTTGTCAAACACCGCGGCGTCGTCGTCGTCGTCGTTCCAGAGCCCGGTCGTCGTCATCGTCGTCGTCGCAATGCCAGACTCGGATCGGTAGAGGAGGCGAAAAAAAACGTCGGTGTGTACAACCATCGATCCAGGTACGCATGCATAAATCGGCCTACTTTGGTTACGGTATGGGGCAACTTTCGTTGCTTCTTGTGTTCTGAGCCTGTGGAGACAAGGGTTCAATGCTCGTCGCCATAACTGCATTGACATGTGTTGTCAAAGGGGGCCTGCGTCGAAAAGAATCGAATAAAACTGGAATGCCATTATGCTGCTGGCGTATGAAACACGTTGTTATTGAATGATGCTGATTAAGCATTGACCCATTTATTTCTCCTAGTTTAGTACAAATCTGGTCATGTAAGTACGTTCCTGCGTCGGCCCCTACATCCGCAAATGAGGTCAGAAGTTGCCAAACTGAATCAGTTGCAGAGCATAAGCACTAGATAGGCAGTTGGAGAAGTTTGATCTCGCAAGTACTACATGTAATTAGCACATGTCGCAGAGCTACCAAATTGGGCACAAGCGTGCTCATGCAAGCAGTGTAACGAACTGCTTCAAGTACTATTTCGCCTCTTTACAGCTGATCTTGTACTGGCCTCAAAAGCATATTCTGGTGGTCTAACTAGATTTGTTAGAAGCGATCGGATTTACACTCCTCCCATTGATCCACGTTGTGATGAAAGAGGAAAGTAAACTAATCATGCGTATTGATCATGCCGATGCACAAGTCGTCGTACCTCGCCTTGAGTAACCGATCTGTCACAGCCGCATTACGGTCGTTCACGAAGCGCCCTTCATCAACTCTTTTTTATGGCTCGGAACTGCATCCTTGCATTCCCACAGTCTCCCGCAGGCTCGACTGTAGCGTCCATGTCTCGACTCTCGACCATCCCCCGAACAAACTCCTCCCTCAAACCAGAACCTCAACGTACCGGCGTAGGCTCCACGGCAGCCATGTAGCCAGAGCACATACAAGTCATGGCGACAGAGCGCGGCTGTACCAACTGCAAGGACCATGCGAGCGCATCGAACTCGACCCCATGGCCCACTGCAAGCAATGTTCGTGTTCATGGGTTAAAGTTTTTATTGGACGCCTACTTGACGATAAGAGCGGAGTTCAGTACGTCCTGACATTTCGTGAACGAATGTAACTACCAGGTGCTCCATGGAGAACAGGCAACTGAGTTCATCTCATTCATCTCTCTTAAGAGGAGGTGGCTTTCCATGCACCTGGGCAAAACAATATTACGACCAAAATCCATCTACTTCTTGTAACCGTGTGAATTATGGGACTTACAAATGATCGTGTCGTCTCTCAGCAGAAACGAACAAAAGCCCCGGAGTACAGCATGAAGAATCAATAAAAGTAAACATCCCCATCGTTAAAGTCCATACTTTATGGCATTCTCTATGGCTTATGGTCTCACGTCATTTCAAAATATTTCCATGTTTAGTGGCATATGTCAGATCTCCTGTAACTCTTGAACTTAAGCCTGGACTTTGATTTTACATTTATTTCTTGGCGCTTCGAAGTCGAATAACCGTCGTTGAGGGCAACAACAGGGTCACGTTTGGCATAATCTTTACCTAGCCATATCAAATCCATTGGGGTACATAACGTAAACTCCGTCTATTAAAGGCTGAATAAATATGATGTAAACTTCCGAAGGGGCTCTCTTGAGCAAAAACTGGACGTTGCTGACATAGGCATTTCGCCGGCTAAGTAGAGTGCAAACATATCGTATGTACCTACAGGTCTTCGTCCTATTATCGATGTTCCGTTCGGCAACGCGTGTACGAACTTTGCCAGTTCGTCTGTTCGCATTTGACCTGCCTCGCCTTGTGGGTCTAGATTTTGGAAAAATTTACGAGGACAACCCGGGTATCTGGATTTCATTGATGCGGAGTCCGTTGAAGTACCAGAAGTTGATATTATTTCTTATTCATACAATATAATCTAACCTCTCTCACAAGTGATGCGTAATGACACCGAGCAAAGAGGAAAGTTGATTTTGTATTTAGCACAACTCTCCATATTGTAGGCACGACATCACTTAGAAAGTGGCTTCATGATATCCCAAAGTCAGTCTACTGAGCTAGCTACGGCCGGCACTCCATGCAGTGCGGTATCTCTCCCATCCAGGCGAGACTAAAAATCTTCAATTTACTGTCCTTCCCAGACAAACCAAACCGCTTCACAGTTTGCTTGTCCTCATACCAGTACTGAAGAAAAGCTGGATCGGACTTGTGATCGAAGAATGTACAAAGTTTTTCAGCGTGGTCTGTGAATTTCTGAGTGAAACTAAAAGCCCATTTCAGTGGACAGCACCAAGTCAGTCGGTCACCATGTAGTTTGAGTCCTTGTGTCCTGATATTTACAATTACAGCTGAAAAGTCCTCAAGTTCTTATCATCTCTTAACAACTGTGTAATCTGTTGGCAAGCTGCCTGCACTGGAGCCCAAAGCTGATTAATCAGTGTTCCACCATCCAAGTACATAAACATGTAGACAACAGAACTGACGTTTACGGACAAAGCACAACCGAAATCTCACTAAACGATCTGCTAAATCAGTAACAACCTTGTCTGCAGCCACAAATGGGAGTAAATATCAACGTCAGAGGGCTTACAGGTTTCCGACCTCTTTATAAAACCTTCACATCGAAGGCCAGATCTTTATCGAGGCACGAGGTCCAGATCTTCATCTTCTTCTGGTTCTTGCTCATTTCCTTGTTTAATTCTCTTGCCTTCTCTTGGAACAGTTCTGCCCCGTTTGGCTTGTTTCCCTCTAAAGATGACATGAACTGAATCTCAAGAGCTTGCTAAAAAGCCGAGGGCCGACTTCTTAAAAAGCTAAAAGCTCATCATATGCGGCTCACAGTTTCATAAAAAAGCGGGTTCTAGCAATAGTCGAAAAGCTTCATTTCTCAATCCTCACTCATTGCCAGAGCATACTTATCCACATAATACTCGCTCTTAGTCATACACTCTGCTGCATAGGAAGGATAGAATTTCAGTTACTTACGGGCCATTTGAAGAAAGACCTACACCTGATTTGTTTCTACCCAGGGTCCCCTCAGGCCTTCCATCTGCAAAAACATACACTCGACAGAATATCGTTCAAACAGCTATTTATTAAAGCAAACTTACCTAAGACAAACAAGTCAAAGTGCCCTTTATCCCAACAACAGAGTCTTTTTCGATCGACTATATATATAACATATTTCAGTTATTCAGCCTTGACGTTTTAACCCTTTTCGTCCTGAATGCCTCATCTCACAAACATGCGAATGCACCCATTCACCTGGTCAGGAAACTCTGAAATACTCATATACGTATTCCGACGCCATGATCAACATATTCGGCTATGAAAATTTGGATTCAAAACGAAATTAGGCAGCCTACCATTCTCACGTCCAGCATTGTTCTCCTCCACCTGATACATAATTGAAACTTATGAAAGCTAACCACTTGGAAAAAGTATAACTGAGGTTTTAGGGTAAACTCGTATCTACTACTAGATTATCATACTGAACGATAATTCGGAACAACTCACTCTCCGGCCAATCCTATACCCAACAAGTAACAGAATGACAACAAGGTAAACAACGTTTGGTAAATGTACCGCAGGTGATGTGACGGAAGATAGCGAAAAAAGCCTGTCCTCAGGCTGGAACTTCCTAGATCTTTTCAAGCTGTAAATTGGTGCAAACAAACAAACGAGCAAGTATCAGGTTACAAAAGTTGAAACAGTAGTGCTGATAGTCTTTGCTATGATAAAATATATGGACAAGGCCTCCATGAAATAGAACCTACAGAAATATCAAGAATCCGACGATTATAAATCGAACATTCGAATAAGAATCACATACAGATTGAACAAAAGGACAAAAATTTCAGATCGCTCTCTGATAAGCTCCAGCGATCGCTAAGCTAAGCATAGCTCAACCAAATATTGAAAGTTAAGCTGGTTGGCAGCGTACAACACATTTGATTAAAAAATTAGTTTGGTCGTACAATGATCAAAATGGCTACATCTTGCAGCAAGATGGGGGACGTCATCGTCACATGAACCGATTGCCACACATTACACACGTACGACCTCCTCATTTCAGCTCAAATGAAGGATTGAAAGTGAATTTGCCACGCTAATCAAGTTCGTTCCCACCTGAGTATTGGTTATGTAGGTTTGCGGCAGATTCCGAAGCGATCATCGCACAAGCCTTGTGGTATATTAGCAGTTACCGAGAGAATGTTTAACTTCGACGCACATAAGGTCACACATTGCATGCGAGTTTCAAAGGGTGCAGTATTCAGTTTTTACTCACTTGCCTGCATTCTTCGAGGACGAGAGGTAAGCCTCAAATCCTTTAAGGACACTTCCGCATTGGCTTGAATCATGCAGATAGGTTGTTTCCATGTCATAGACCTGCCAGGTCACGTAGGTAAGTATAAGGTAACGTTGGAGACTGATAGAGAGAAGTCTGTGCAGTAAGAAGACTGAATGGAACAATATGAAGGATCCGTGTAGAAAGGACGACACTTTGTTAGAGCACAGCAAATGCCCCATGTGCTGCCATGTACCTGTAGCTTCTGGAGACCAGCTGTTTACACTTCAATTACTCAATGATGTAAATGCATAACAATTCTAACTTTAACAAGGGACAGTTTATCCCCAGTGACTCATAGCCTAAGAGATGTGGATGATGTGCAAATAAGTCAAACACAATCAGAGAGACGGCGAAGTCATGTCTTCTATATAATCTCGACAGAAACTAAACAAAGCCAAGCAAGACCTTATCGGTGGCCTACGTGCGCGGGGAGAATGCTGCCAAATGGTCTGCCCCGAACTCCGAAGCATGGAGATCAGACCAATACAAATCCTATAGCTCTAACACGAACGCGTAGAAAAGCAATACAAAATCAACAAACTATCAATTACGTAAGAGAGACAGCAATATGTAGCGAACGGGCAGACAGGACAGCATTTTAGAAGGTAGGATTTACATAATATATGATCAGCATGCAACGGGACGAAGGATATATCGGTACGCCTATGTGTGCCAACTAAGTGATATCGAATGGAAAGAAACATGATGACAAGGAAGAAGAAAAAAAAAGTGGCAACTGAATACGTAACGAATAAGTGCAAGCATGCAGACGACAGACAGAGTAGAAAAACTGTGGAAGATGAAGCGAGTCAAGGACATAACTAGGAGAACAATTCACACTGTCCACAGGATAGTTTTAGGAAAATAAGTGAGCAGCATGGAAGTGCTAGGCCGACGCAAGAAAGCCATCCAGTGACAAATAACAATATTCGAACGAGAAGCGTCTATAGTCCCCTCACATATATATTCGGCTGCTTCATCAGTGGATACTGGGGGGCATAGGCCTCTAGAATCGACCGCGAGGAAGATAAAAATAACTCAAATCCCAAGAAGCCAAAGATAATAGATGGCTGTTGCCTGTTCAAGTGACTTAACCCTTAACCTTACTCTCCTCCTTCGATCATCGATGTTCACTGATGATTCAATAGGTAGGAACTTCACATTCAATGGACCTTATCGGACCCATTTCTTAAGTCAGATAAATAGGTGTTTGACGAGTAGTCACTGTCTCTCCTCAGGGAAAGTCCCACAAGGTGTCTGCTATGTTGGTATCCCAGTCATAAGTATGATTCAACCAGAATTTATTCAAAATTTCACATGACAGGCCAATAGATTTCCCCGCGAGACCATTTGGATTAAACGGCGTAGTCTTCTTGATCTGGACATATGTGGAAAGTTTTTCAATTGAAGCATTTCGGAGTATGTGCGTCTTCGTCACTCTACTTGCCACTGGAATTGTACGGCTTAATCTTCCAATGTTTAATCTGGGATAATGTGATAAGTTCTCCAATCAAAGAAATCAGGAAATAGTGCCTTTATCACCAACCAACTTCAGAGGTCACCAATACCGACAAAAAAAATGACTTCATAAACGGGCGATACTCTGATGCAAGGACAGTAGTTGAGAGGAACTCAACTACTGTCATTGCATCATCTTTCCTAGTGGCGACTGCTTCTGCCATCTTCGCTGCATAATCAGTTATTAGGATAAACCGCTTCCTTGATCCCCGACTTGCTGGCAAAATGGGCAATATGCGTAGATCTGACGGTGCATGGCACAAAATACACTGACTTGTGGAGACAATATTTTTTGATCTCTTTCGTAGGTTAGGTGCATAGGCTGCTGTTTACGGAGGTATGTTGAAAACTAATCAATCAGCGGAACACTGGGGCAATTCATATCCAAAAAAAATAAAAGGCACTTGTGGTTTTGGTCTTGACAAATGTCGAGCCAGATACACAAGATTGCGGATACCGTATTTTCTGATTTCTTCCGCGTACATATATTAGGGGTAGGTGTAAAAGTGCATAGGCTGTTGTTTCAGGAAGTATGTTGAAATTTAGTCAATCAGCGGACCACTAGAGAAACTAATGTCTAAAACAAGTATACAGTAGTCTCCCTCCTAAGTACGCATCTTGAACCTGGGAGGATTGTGCATACTTTGCCGAGCCAGAAACTAATGTCTAAAACAAGTATACAGTAATCTCCTGCCTAAGTACGCACCTTGAACCTGGGAGGATAGTGCATACTTAGCCGAGCCGGTAGGAGCGTACTTAGATGAATCACTTCCTAATCTTTTGATTCGATTGCGATGTCAAAGAAACTAAACGGGAACGCCTAAATGAATCCCACCGATGCGATATAATAGAGAAGCTGAGCAACACGGATGCTCCCAGAAAAAGGTCTCTAGCTCGAGTAAGATGTTAGTGAAGCAGCTGTCAAAAATGTGTGAGACAAGCGGGAGCAAATCCTAAAAAGATCTTCCTTCGTATCTAATGAACCTAAAGAGAAGACTTTTCTATACTGTTGGATGCTTCATTGAGCTTGAAGACATGCTTTACATCTGTGTTCAGATCATGTGTCATCCTAATCTCCCTATTCCACCATAGCCAAAGCAAAAAGTATTGCATTCAGTTAATCAATTTTGGAAACAGACTTGAAGGCATCCTGGTAATGGCTAAATCAATCACAAGGCGCTGAGGGTTGTAAAAGGTGCTGCTTCACGGAGAGTAGTTGAAGTCATCAAATCCTACCCTGGATTGTTGGAAGCTTTAGACGACCTCTCCGTGTTTATTGCCCACTGTAAATGGTAAATGGTAATAGATCAAGCCCGGGGACCCAAAGGGTCAAAAGGCTGAAAAACACAATACAAGTAAAAAACCACAAACAAGGAAAAGACCCCAATGATCAATCCCTAGCTAGTGCCAAGAGCACTAGAACGGTAACTAATGATGTCCCTAATATAATAACCTAAATCAAAAGATACTAAGATGTGATCTGAAACATCTGGTATATATCGGCTTGTTTTTTTTTTCTACTGCCTAAAATTCTAAAAATATCTTCCTTGATATCTGATGAAACTAAAGAGAAGACTTTTCAATACAGTTGGTTGTTTCATTGAGCTTGAAGACATGCTTTACATCTGGATATAGATCATGTGTCGTCCAATCTCCCTATTCCGCCACAGCCAAAGCAAAAAGTATTGCATTAAGTTCTTCATTTTGGAAACAGACTTGAAGGCATCCTGTAATGGCTAAATCAATCACACGGAGCTGAGGGTTGTAAAAGGTGCTGCTTACGGAAAGGTAGTTGAAGTCAACAAATCCTACCCTGGATTTTTGGAAGCTTTAGACGACCTCTACGTGTTTATTGCCCAATATTATCTGAAAACGTCTACAATATGGTAAATACCGGCTTGATTTTTTTTTGTCTACTACCGAAATACAGCCTTCTAATGTCAGATGAGTACACATCAACCAATCTTTGGTTGATGTGTACTCATCTTCAAAACTTGCGCCCAAATGACTATTCATGACATGTTGAACAAAATATATCTTGAACACTATTCTTTTGGGAAAATAATGCATACCTACTGGGTTGCGTACTTAAGCGGGAGGCTACTGTAATTATACGGTGCGTCGCGCCAAATATTCTGGGCTGCCAATACTACATTTGCGATTTTCTTCCGCGTGAATGGGTGACATCTGAAGTGCATATGCTGTTGTTATTAAGTTCCGTTGAAAACCAATCAATCCGCAGGAAACTGGGCTAAGTACCGTCTAAAACAAGACTAGGTATCAGTGATTGCACTAGTGCATAGCTCCAGATACAGTCGACTGCGCGGATACTATGTTTTCTATTGGGTTAGGACTTGGTGCATAAGCCATTGTGACGGGTGTTGTTGTGAAAAGTGATAAATCAGCGGGCCACTGAAGCCTCTGAAGGGATCTAAAGGGATCGCTGTACGGAAAGACTATATATTTTTTCTCTAGCATGTGGCTCTCGTCGTTGAGATTATACATGACTTTCCAGTTTAGTTTGAGAGAGTAGCAGACTGGGAAAGAGCCAAGTCATTAAACTGCAAGTGCGAGCAGAGAAGGTCTGATTGACTAAGCAAGATTCCCGAGGATAGGTACCCCTGCAATAGCATCTAAAGAGATGGACATGATATTCTCGAACTCAGGAACAGCGGGAACGTAAGGTCCTCCACATATCCTCGATAGTTGATAAGTGTATTGTGGAGACCTCTGTGTTCCGGAACGAGAACACCCGTGGGATGAACTCGACTTTCTAAGTGAGCAAGTCGAAGTTAGCTAAGAAGATCGCGCAGTTAGTTCTCATGGGAATCCCAGTTACTTGTCGATAGAGCTACTCTTCAAAGCATAAGTATACACTATCAAGAAGGTAAACCACCCAAGTGACGAGGAGATCTGGAGATACGAACGGTCCGTGTGAAGAAGGGCAGTCGAAAACCTCCGGACGCAAGCCACCAACCCAACCCAACGGAATGAAGTACAGATCCTGCAGTGTTTAAAGAAAAGAGTATCCTCCTGCTTATGTGAGGAAAGGTGACTAAGAGGATCCCCCAGCAGGATCCCCCAGCTGTTTGAGATCAGCAAGGTCAAATTTCGTGTACCAGGTGGTAAAGTTGTAGCATGAGAAGAGCAGTGGAGGAAAGGTATCATTGCAGACGACTGCAAAGTATCATGCATGGCGACTACGGTTGAAATCATGAAGAACATGCAGACGCCCGCAGAATGCATCCAACATCAAGGAGGAGGAGAGTGTGTGTAAGCCACGTTCATGCAGAAGTGAAGCCCATGGGTCATATTCTATAGATAGCTGTAACCCAGTCCTACTCATATGCAAACCCGTGTAAGTTTAGTGTAATTGTCTTATGGTGATGGTGCGCACAGAATGGGCTATGGTGAAGCTTTGTGTGTACTTTCCAAGGCAAGAAGAAGAAATGAAGAGAGGTGTAAGCTCAGCATTCTTAGCCACCAACGAATGCTGTGCAGCGAAGTCAATGTGCCGAGCAGTATTGTCTCATGTGGTGTCAGAAACACGTAAATTTATGCTAATTGGACATATCAGAATGTTTAAAAACCGTAGTTTCAGAAACTGCACATGTGTGCAATTGCCACTAACTGGACTTGAGCTGCAAGCAAGCATCCTTCGGAGTGAAGAAGGACGAGCAGTGGCACGAGGGCAAGCTTACGAATTGAACAAGTATGCCATATCTGACTCTCCAATTTATACACTCACTGCCAGCAGGCAGGTACATCCCTAAGTATACAGCAGGCGAGATTCACCAGCAAGTCGTGTGGACTTACTACCGACCCGTAATGTGTATCTAAAGGAACCAACTGCAGTGCGTACTTGATTACCTCCATAATAATTCGGGCTCTCATTACTCCATACTAGATACTCATGCACTCCAAACGAACCAACAATTCCAGTTTCAGAATACACCAGATACGACTGACTCCTCTAGTACGGGCATACAAATACTGCATGCACCAACTTTTCACGTCTGAAGCCATGAGAGATGGGAATTAATAAAAATGGTATGAGCTTTCAAACCTCACTGTTATCTATTTCCAATAATTCTATTATGTACAACATGCGCACAAGCTAATACAAAATTCGTTGCAGTTCAATATTCCACCAATGCCGGTAAGAAATAACAACATTTGAAGGCTGGAAATCACAGTACCTGCTTCTCCACACTTTTCAGCTCTTCGTTCAATTTTTCCCGCTTCGAAAGCAAAACAGCAAGTGCTGCCTGAGGATTCCCGTTCCTTTGACCTGACATTTCGCCACATCTCAGATTCACGGGAGGCAGAAATAAACGAAGGGCGACGGATGTTCATCAAATTACAACATCTATAACGTAATCCGGCTTGTTCGCCAAGACAAAAGCTTGAACCTCTGCCAAATCCAGGTCTGGCAAATCCTCTCCAGGTACTCAAACAAAGGCTCGTCAGTCAGCGATGGAAATCGAGTGCTGACTCAAACGAGCAGCTACCTTCCACGACTCTCAGCTCCACGATCTATAACCTGATCAACCCTAGCTAGTCCAGATCAGAGCAGCAAGCACAGAGCTCAGACAAAGTCTACAGATTTCTCGCTCTGTCCTCATCTTTGTCTGCACGTTGGCATGTTATAAGCTGCACCTTTTGAAATTTTGAAATTTTTCGTAGATGATCCATTTTCTTCCATGTGAACCATCTTCCGGTGGCCGTCGGTCCAACGGGTCTGTCACCACCGGCCCTCTGTCTTCGCCATGCAGTCTCGTCTTCTTCTAGGCCTCCCCTCTGACTCCATCTCCTCTGCGCTTGTGCTCGCGAGCAACATTGGCATTAATCACGTACGCTATTGCAGCTGTTGCTTTCATGGTCCTCCCTCCAGATCTCTGATCGCAGGAGTCCAGGTCCAGCCGCGAAGTAAATTGGCGCATCCGATAAATGTGCAGAAAGTCCCATTCCCACGTAGGATCCAGCAGCACATCAAAGCCTGCCTTTCTTTCAACGTGTAATTTAATGGTGGCCCCTCTTTTCCAACTTTCTCTCCACACTTATGCCTTTTAATCCCGATATTTCCTTCATATTCTCCTCTCCCTGAAATTATCATCCGTCACCTTCCCACGTATGCCGAATTAATTGCTCGCTGTCGTTGGTCTCCTTGTCTGATTTATCCGAATTTCATCCCGATTTACCAAAGTTCATTCCCATGGCGTTTAGAGTCTAAGGTTTCAACTCGTTCAAAGCATTATACATCTACAAATATCCATTCTAAATAAATCAGAATCATGAGCTTGTTACTATTATAAGTTGTTTGAGGTTTCATTGGAGATTTTTTTTTCTATCATGCTTATACATACTTTCATGTGTTGGGATTCAAGTTGATGATTGTGTTATGTTATGATGTTATGCTCGGCGCATTTTTCTAAAGATGTCACAATCTTTGATAATAGCAAATACTTCATTAATTCTTCTCCGGTTAGAAAATTTTATTGTTAAGCCATGTTTGTCAAAATTGTATTTACTAGCTTGCCTATACATCAAACCAAAACTAGTTTGACCATGTTGTTAGGTTTTAACTCGTGTCAACCCCTGTAGATACTAATGGGGGAGAGACCTAGCTCGCTCCCTTGAACATTTACGGTAAAAACTCGTGTTTCCGTGGAGGTAGCAAAGTGGTAAACCACGTTAATTTTGTGTATACAAGTGTCGAACCATGTTAATTTTTGGGTTTTCCCTTGGAGTGTACGCTCGCCTGCCACCGGACCGTAGAGACCACGCGCACCAGTCTCTCTCCCGGCACCGGACCTTAGAGACCACCTTAGAGACCACGGGCACCAGTCTCTCTCCCGTCTCGTCGTCCCCGTCTATCACAACGCGCAGATCCTCATCGCACTCCACAACTCGGACGATCGGCCCGGAAATCTAACACTTTGTCTGTCAGCCCGAAGTCTAACACCGACGCCTTTTTATAGCAATTCTTGAACCAAGAGGACGAGATCACGGCCCAAAAGTCTAACATTCTGTCTCTCGGCCCAAGGTCTCTAACATCAACGCGCCTCTTTACAACGATTCTTCAATCAGTAGGACGAGACCACGGCCCGGAAGTCTCAAACTTCATAATTCGGCCTCAATTCTAGCATCAAGGGTCATCTTTACAATAAATTTTCAACCGAGAGTACAATACCACGCTGATAGAAATGATAGAGGAAAGAGAGAAGAGAGCTCCAAGATTAGCCACAACCCAAAGACCTCCGGAGTCACACACTTGTTGGAAAGCACAAAGAATCACGTTAATTTTTTCGTTTATTTTCATTTTGTGTGATTTCGTGTGAATTTGATCCAACAACTGATATGTGAACAATCTTGGCATTGATATTTAGTCTTGGCTTGTACTCAAAAAGTTGTTCTAACATGTAAAGAACTAACAGAGATTAAGTTTGCCCATTGCACGTCATCATACCTTCACTACCAAACTGAAAGTTGGTTTTTTCTTTGCAAATTGAAAAAGGTTGTAGAATAGAGCAAATTGTTTGAATGGAAGTATGATTGTGATTACACATCTAGCTTGAATATTTTTTGTTTGAATTTTTTGCTTCATCCGAGAGATGTTAAAGCAAGATAAACTTGGATCTGAATTGAAATACTACACTTCTTTGTACAATTTTGATGCTTGCAGTCATGCGTCATTCTTGAATTTAGCTTTTTGATAAAATCCAAAATCATTTGACTTCTTCTAGTTTCTTAATTTGATGGTTAAAGTTATAATCTTGAAGTTAATGTTTGGGGGAAAAATTTTTGGAGCTTTAAATTTGATATTTCAATTTTTTATTATCTTTGACGCAGATATAATCTACTATGAAAACAATATTTTGTTTGAATGATTGAAGGCGGGTTGATAGATTTTCAGTATTTTGGTGGTGATGAGTTTGTTGGAGATATTTAGCCCATAATTATCACATTATATCGCAATTGATTTCAAATTATTTACAATAGTCATTGAACTGTTGGTAAGTTTGAATATTAAGTTTGCATGAATAATCCATTGAGATGATGTGTGTTTCAATCTAAGTTTGAGTAGTCTAATCTGGACTGTATTGGAAGACAAGGAAGTGACCATCTCTCTTCTTACACCTCAGATTTTAATTCCTTCTAGCGAACTATAGGTTGATTTCCCATCTAATGGAGTTTGAAGTTTTTATGAATTAAATCATTGTAGACCATGACTTATTAACTGATGCGTAAATCTACAATATCAAGAGTACAAGTTGGACGTATGATTTTTTCAAAGTCAATGCAAAGTCTTGTGGGCGCTATGAGTATGATAAAAAGATGAATTGACATAATGCAAGCTATAAGGCACGTTTCCAAAGGTTGCTCTTCTTGCCAACCATTTTTTTAAATGAGAAAAACCTACTTGTTTTCTTGTTTGAAATAGGTGCAATGTGTACAAAAAATGGCGTATTATTGTTGATAGCTCTCTTGCAGTTATGCACCTCCTACTGGCGCAAGAGTTCCACTAGCTAGAGTCCTGAAGAAAGTTGACAAAAGTTTACCTATATCTTTAAATTGGAGGTTGAAAGTGAAAGTAAAGTTGAAACCACTACTAGAAATTATAATATATTACATAATTTTTGTTATTTTAGATAGATCTACAAAAATTATTGCAAAAAGCGAACATATGAATGGAAAAGAAGAAATTTACATTCAAAAAACATAAGAAAAAACTTCAATTATTTTGCAAAACTAGATGGTGGTCACTAGATCAAAGTAAGCAAGATATGACATAGTCAAATACAAGGGAAGTGATGACTATTTTCTTTGATAAAGAGAATTGAAAAAACAAATTGACGATCATGTGTATAGGCAAGATATTGGAATCAAAATTTTGCATATATAAGGATGACGACTAGAGAGATTTCTAGCAAGAGTATGTGAAAATTGACACACTTCATTTGCAAACTTCAATTCTAAAGCAAGTGGATGAGTATAACAAATGTATTATATTTTGAAAACTCTTGAGAGACAATTTCATAAAAAAAATTGTCAAACATGTTGTATGTTTCCTTGAAACTGATTAGCTTCAAAATTAAAAAATGTAGCACAAAAATTCATTCGATGATCTTGTAATTGAGCTTTAAAATTTTGAAAAGTGAAATACTCATGATAAAAAAACTCTTTATCTTTTGAATTCATTGCTTGTCTTATATGAGACGTTGTCACATCACTTGCTTCATCGTGATATGCAAACAATCACTTATAATAAATGCTCTATTGATTCACAATTTACATCAAAATATAATGTTGTCATATATTCCATATTTTTTTCTGTACAATTTTGAATATGATTCAATTTTGATTATATTCACAGAATAATAAATATGAAAATCATATTTTATATGAGAATAAATCCAAATTTAGGGTTAAATCATAAAAAATATCATGATATGTTGAAAATGTGCAAGAATGATCACGTTAAGAAAGATTGTAATGTGAAAACCAAAGATGATGATTGTCCATTACCCAATGTTTGATTTTGAGGAGTATGATTTGCTAGACAATGTACTATGATGTCAAAAATAAATTATATGCAATTCATGAAAGAATGTTGATCACGTGATAAAAATAAGCACTATAAGTGATTATTAAATTAGTTAACTTAGAAATCTTTTTTTGCTTTTTTCATTATAAATCAATTTAATTTTTATGTGTAACGATCAATAATGTAGTATTGAGTATATTAGATCTATAAAGATTGAATTGTTCAATGAAGTCCAATGTACATTTTCTCACATCAAGTTCATATAGACATGAGATTTTTTTTTTATCTTTCTTGAAATATTAGACTCAAAAGTCTTTGAATGAAGCTCTAACAAGGAAATGTTTGAGGTGAAAATACATAATAGTATTATATTGAGAGTTCATAAGTACAACACTCTATATATGCTAGAGTACTTTACTATTTGTGATGAAATCAATTGTTTGACATTATAAATGTATTATGTATAGCATTAAAGGCTGAGACATAAGTAATAGCTAACAATTTATCATAAGCGATAGAAAAATGTTACCTATCATAGATAAAGTTGACTTAAAATTTGACAAATATTGTGTTATGGGCAAGAATGATAGTCAAATCTTTGAAGTTGAAACTCACAATTCCAGAAATTTATTTTGAATTTGTGCATACATAGTGACAACAGGTCTCAGTATACTTTCCGAAAACTTCATTCTTTGAAAAGTTTTACGATGTATAATTCATTGATGATTATTTGAGATTTCTTTTGGCTTTATTTACTCATACACAAGTCTGAGCTGTTTAGAACTCTCAAAACTTGGAAGGTCCAAATTGAAACTTAGATTTGACATAAGGTGAGATTTTTATGTACGTATAGTGGTGGACATATACTTTAAGAATATCTGAAATTATTGCAAAGAATAGGAAAGTACTTGTTATTTCATCAAGATTCATACTACGCAACAGAATGTTAATGCTAAAAGTCTAAATTAGTGAAATTTGAAATTATTGCAAAGAGTAGGCAATTGTTCATTATTTCATCAAGATTTATACTCTACAATAGAATGCTAATGCTGAGAAGCTCAATCAAACAATGTTGAGGAAAGATGCGTAGTATGTTGAGTCAATTTGATTTACCATATGGATATTAAACTGAATATGACAATATTGCAATTTATTTGATAAATAATTACTCTTTTAGCAATTCATTTCTTGACATTGTTTGAACTTAATCACAATTGGATGTTTATTTAAAGTTGTTGACACAATAGAATTTTGATTGCACGGCTTATGTTCTCATATGTAAGTACAATAGTATCAAGTTGGATCTTACATTCAAGAAATGTTGTTTTTTTGGATATGCTAGTGATATGAAATGTTATAAACAATGGATTCAAAATGCATGTAAAGTTAATGTAAGATGGTATG